TTCTTCCCTTGAACAATCCATCTTGTGCTAAAGAAGTAAAATTCTATAAAGTCTATTTTCAGAGAGGGTTTTGAAGGAAGCAGAGAATCTCAGCGGTCTCGAACTAGTCGAATATGTAAATAAAGCTCAGAATCTCTTCACGGTAAACTTCTATGAAGAATACGCAGGAAGGAATTGAGAAATCGAATCAATTTTTTTTCAGACCAAGCTGTCGCCTCGTTTTGCCCAATACCCCGACGCCATCAAAAGCCGTCTTATGGGATCGAAACACGTAGCAATTCCTGCCGAATTCAGAGTGAACGAGAAGACCCATGACGACATTGACGATGCTGCTATCCCAGATTCTTTTGACGCACGCACTAAATGGCCTCAGTGCTCCTCAATTCTCTCAATTCGTGACCAATCATCATGCGGTGAGAATGCTTGGATGCCGTCTTTTATAAAAATGAGCAATTCAATGTTGAAGGATCTTGCTGGGCTTTCGGTGCTGCTGAAGCCATGACTGATCGCATCTGTATCGCTTCCAATGGCAAAGAGCAGTTCACCATATCCGCTGACGACATTCTTTCTTGCTGTGGAATGGTCTGCGGAAATGGGTAAGCTTCGAGAACACGGTGGAATTTAGAATACCATTTTGTAGAAGAAGCATGAAGCATAGTGTAGCGTGGTGAATTAGGCCGTGAATCTTTGGCTCCGAAGTTCAATTATCTTAATTCAAATTCTTCTTTTTCGTAAAAAGGGGATTTCATGTTGTGAGGTTTTCATGTTAGCCTTCAAGGTGCATGGGTCAAAGCCAGTCAAAGTCTTATTGTCCTTTTGCAGATGCGAAGGTGGGTATCCTATCCAAGCATGGAAATACTGGGTTAAGCACGGAGTAGTAACTGGAAGCAACTATACCATGAAGGTTAGTTTTAGTTTCTATCCTACTGATGACATTCTTCATGAACAGCATGCGATAACACTGAGATATATCTATACTCTAAGGATATATCTATACTCTAAGTAGAAGAACACCGAGCTAAGCCTTACCTTTAGCTTAAAGAAATATAATTTGAAAATAGCAGCGCTAAAACCATTGCCATTCCTTTTTAGGCTGGCTGCAAACCCTATCCATTTGCACCATGTGAGCACCACGACAATGCTACCCGCTACCAGGTGGGTTCGTTCAGCTATTTCATAATGCAACATAAAAGAATCTCACGTTGAATTTAGCCCTGCCCGGCCGACATCTACCCCACAAACAAATGCGAGCACACCTGCCAATCTGGATACCCAGTCACCTACGACAATGATAAGCACTTCGGTAAGACCAACTTTCGAGCTCCTTTCGTTTTTCGCTTAATCAGTAGCGAAAAAAGATAACGATTACGAGCGCGGCAAAAGAGCGCTGATCATGCGGTTGAAATACAACCTTGAGCATTGGAGATAAGGATGAATTGTTTAGGAGCTACTGCCTATGCCGTCTCGAAAAAGGTCACAGATATTCAGAAGGAAATCATGACTAATGGACCAGTCGAGGTTTCCTACAATGTATACGAAGACTTTGAGCACTACACTGGTGGCATCTATGTGGTGAGTTGGGCATAGTTCCGTGATAGGGCGCGTGGGTGGAAAAAAATCAGCTTTCTTTATGAGTAGAGGTTTTTTCTGCTAGCAAGCGCCATACATAGTATAATTTGAATTTTCTACAGCACACTGCTGGGAAAGAACTTGGAGGTCATGCCGTCAAGATGCTCGGATGGGGTGTTGAAAACGGTACTCCCTACTGGATCTGTGCCAACTCATGGAATTCCGATTGGGGAGAGAACGGTTATTTTAATATTCACAGCAAGCCTCGCATAGCAAATGGTTCGTGTGATTTTCAGGATTCTTCCGCATCATCCGTGGATTGAACGAATGTGGTATCGAGTCCGGAGTTGTTGCAGGAGAGCCCAAACTGTAATTATGACGCTCTGAATCAACTTCCTTTGTATAGATATACATAAATATAGCTGAGCAATGCAAACACAACATTCAAAGGTTTTTATAAATACAAAACAATAATCAGATAATTGAAAAACATTGGCACATTCACAATTAAAATGAGCGCAGTTAAAATCGAACGAACTTTTAATAAAATTATTCACAAATCCTAAGGGAAGGTGCACGAGGTCGAAAAATTCAAATAATAAGATTAATTATACAAATATTAAAATAAATTGTAAAATTTGAACTAAAAGGCTAGAGTTGCTGCTTATATCATGCTATAGCAGGATATAGGAAAAACAGTAGTGCCCCGAAATCTATGATAAATGAGCTGAACAGAAATTTAGATGATTAATTATAAATTTACTC